AGAAACTCAGCCTTTAGACTTCCAGTCCAATGTTCTCCGTTAGACTGCTCTGTATCTATCTGACAAAGTGAGGAATCAACTTTCATTGCTCCTTGATTGCAGAACTCTGTTTTATGTACGAGAAATGGTAAAATGTGGAGAGATACAATTTTTGCAAAATAAATATGAAAACTGTATAGAGTGGAAAATGTTATATTTGACAGGAAGGGATTTCAAGAAAAGTTAAACCTTAATTTTGGTTCAAACCTGTCAACCTGTTTTAACTGTGTTAGAGGTAATGAATCCTCCTCAGGGAATTAGCCTTTAGATCTCTGGTAATTATCTCTTATCTACAAGACAAATACCGAGATGGTATCACTAGTCATTCTGTCAGTGAAATTATAACACTGCTGTAAAAATCTCTGGTCGCCGTACATTAGAAAAAGAAACAGATAAAAATAATTCCCCATTAAAAGATTTCTCCCTTCACTTGTCAATTGGTATGAATTCTTTCAATTTTCAGAGATGGGATATAGATTTTATTCTCCATCATAAGTGAGAGAAAGTGAGTGTTGAAAAATACTCTTAGATTTTAAGTAAAAATTAAAACACATAATGGCTTCCTGTAGTTGTTTCCCATTATTTTTTCTCACTGTCTTGCTCTCTTGCTCTCTTTCATTGAGCCTCCCGGTTTTCTACATCTTTCTGCTCTTGAAACTTCCTTCTCAACACTGTGTGATATGTGTGACCTGTCTTCTGTAATATCTCTCTTTCTCCTTTCTCTTTGCCTCTCCTTGTATCTCTTCCTTAACTGGCCATAGTTCATAGTCAAAATATACTGAAATTTTTAAAAAATGAATTTTATATGGCATTCAAAACCAAAATAAAATAGATAAAATCTGTTTTAACCCAAAAGAAAAAAAAAAAAAAGTCCTATTAAAGCACTAAATAGAAACTAGAGGCAGGCAGGTTTCAGTTTAGCAGAACTAAAGAACTTTCTAAGTGGTTAAACTCTCTGAAAATTAGAATAGGCTTCCTTCCTCAGAAGATAATGAGTTTTTGTTTTGTTCTGTTTTATTTTTATCCCAGGGGGCTGAAGCAATATGCAGCAATGAGGGGGAAGGGGCTATGCAGAAATTTAGATTTATATAGCTCTTAAAATCCTCTCAGTCTATAATTCTAATGCTTAGGGGTGTGTGTGTGTGTGTGTGTGTGTGTTTTAAAGTTTGATTCTTAAATGTGTGATAAATTGTCTGTTGGTCAAGAAAATAGACACTTCAAGCACCAGTCCATGCAACAAAACAATTATAAAGATCCGTGTCTTTGGGGTTGGATTATTGGAGATTAAAGAGAAAGCACAAGGTGGCTTTGACCAAGTCCTTTAATGGTAACTAATAATGAAATCCTTTTCCAGGATACACGTAGAACCATTTCATGTGTGACATAAAGAAAATGGTAAAAAAAAGAAAATTAAGTTACATCCTCCTCATTTGAATTTAATGATTGTGCCTGGGAATTGCTACTGTCCTTGTTCTGTTATTAATTGACTACTTGAGAGTGGGTGCAATTCTTCCTTCCTCTGAGACTCCAGTTTTATCCCAACGAAAGTTAAGAAATTAAAAAAAAAGTCATCTCTGTGATCCTTCTGTGGGCAGAGCCACACATTAAGAACCTTCGTGCAAACCAGCTCAGTATCTTCAAATTTCTGGAGTTCTAGCCTTACTTTCTACTTGTCACATCTGCTCTGTCCACCCATTCCTCTTTTCTTGCCTCTTGGATTAATCAATTCTTTAAAAGTATTCTATTGGCTTTTTAGCTATTTCTCTTATTAGCGGATTAAACATACATTCTTTCTTTATCTTCTTCTACTTCAAGTTAATGTTTCGTCATTTAATGTAAATTATACAAAACTTGCCATTGTAGAATTCTAGACCCCCTTTCTTTATGCTGTGTTGCCAAATAGTTTACATGCCCATATTTATTAATCCCACAATATAACGTTAAAATTATTGCTTTAAATTGTTAGTTGTATTTAGTCTGATGTTGTCCTGACCAGTTATGGTCAGTCCCAGGCAGTGGACTCTCTCTAAGAGGGTCAGAAATCTTTTGCTGTGAAGGGACAGTCAATATTTTGAGGCTTTGTGAGATGGTCTTGTTTGAAACTCCTCAACACTTCCCCTGTAATGTGAAAGCAGCCAGAGACAGGCTCTAAATAAGTGGGTGTGACTGTGCTCCAATAAAACCTGATTTATGAAAACAGACAGCAGACTCCATTTGGCCTGCAGACCACAGTTGGCTGACCTATGGTCTATACTATTGGTGGTAAATAGTCAAGGTCCATATTTCTTATCTGTAGTTCTGAAATCCTTAGAGCTCTGAAGATTATATTTTTATGCCTCACTTGGCAGCAAAACATGACCCAATCTGAACTTCTCTGGTGGGAGAACTTGACCTGCCCTGTAATGAGGCTCTGCATTGCCTATTTATCACACTTGGGGTGACTATTGGTATGTTTTACTACAGAGATATTAATAAGTTGATTAAAGAGTGCTGTTCCACAGCATGCTGGTGGCATTAGAGGACTGTGTTTCCTTTTCTAAATGGAAAAATGCTCAATTCTGAAACACACCTGGCCCCAAGGGTTTCCCTAAAGAATGTGGACTGATGGTGGTCTGATTCCATGTGAGGTTTAAGGACAGTGGTAAAAAGGAACTCTGTAATGGTCTGTGAGAGCAAGTTGCTACCTGTCCCTATTTCCTCTGTTTAAGACCTTCCTCCTGTGCCTCTGGCATTTTAGGGGACTCCCTAGTCATCCCAGGAGTCTCTGGTTCATTGCCCAGTTTGGAATGTCTTTGGCCCAGCAGAATGGTAAATTTTACTCCACAGAAATAACAATAGAATGTCTACCAATATATTTCTCAGAAGACAGTGGCTTTTTAGTTTTGGTCTGGTTGATTAATTGGCAGGCTGGTGTATAAGGTTAGGAGTGAAGTCCTGGAGATTGAATTAGAAGCTTGGGTTGTCATGTATTAGACTGTATCTTTGGGGAAGTCACTTAATCTTTGTAAGCCTCAGTTTGTGAGGCTTCAGCTGGAAAAGAGAATGGTAATATTACCTCATAGGATTAAAAGGTAGAGTACTTAGCTAAGTGTTTGGCTCAGAACACATGTTCAATAAATATTAGTTTAGTTATTTTGTGAATAGAACTGGATTAATTGTAAGAATAAAAAGCTGCAAACCACCTTCCAGAGTCTGGTTCATGTCCTCAGAGGCCAATTAAGATTATTTATTAATGGGTTACTGTAACACCTAGCCTTTGAAATATGTGTAAATTCTCTGAACAATTGTGAATTCTTGGAAATTGTTTGCAAAATTTTATGCCTGTTGTCCTTTAGAGACTATCTATAAATTTCATCTGAGTCTCACAGAGCTTCATGTTCTAAAAAAGGTTAAGAACCAAAGTCCTAAGTGCACCCCATTACAGCATATTTGGAGGATTATGAGTGAGACAGTGATGTTCTGTCTGATCCATTAAGGTTTCCCATTGGAATAGAGGTGAGACATTTCTTCACTATCTGGTTTTATGGAACTGGCTTGGGTGATGACATGAAAACTCTTTGAATATTTGGAGCTATAGTCATCAAAGTTTATGAGAAAGCCCCAAGCTGATGTCAGTTCCTTAGGTATGCTCACAGGAATAATAAATCCATGTGTACATATAAGGGACTAGGCCTTGACTTGAGCCTACAGACTGAGCTCTTTGGTTGACCTACCCTATGAAGCCTTATGACAAATGTGAAATTTTCTGTGGCTCTGATGAAATGCTTGTATTCCCTGTTCCCCATAGGTATACTAACAGCCAAAAAGAAGAAAACTATATATGAAAAGTCAGCTTATCTTGGCAGAGAACCTGCTTGGAGCAATATTCTTCAAGTCTCTAGAAGAGAGAAAATATATAGCTTTCCTCTTGGCTGCATGACTTGGAACTAGCTGTCACTTAGCAGTTCAGCTTGTGACATGGTAACAGCTGCCCCAGGGACCAGCTCCAGCTCACCTCAGCAGTACGGAAACCAGCTAGAACCAAGGTGGCTGGTACGCGGGTGGGCACGTGGGGTGTGAGTCATGGAGGGAGTCGCGAAACTTCTCTTGGCAGGGTCTGCTGCAAACAGAGTGTAAAGACACCCTCTCCAAGCATACATGTCAAGCATAAACTGTTGCTGGAAGAATACTTGTGATTTTTATAGTGGGAGACCACAGGACCCTGATTGTGCCGACGTAAGGCAGCGTGAAGAGCCAGCCCTGCTACAGCTCAGAATATCATTTCAGTGACAATATCCGTCATGGATTAAAAGTCTCATGTGTAGAGTCACTTAAAAATTTAGAGTATGAGATAGATGTGAATTCTGGTAAGTTCTAGTTACCTAATGACTTCCCTGGAGGCTGATCTGTAATAATGAGTAGGTTCCTATTTCTCAGGCTCCTCTATAAATAACGAAAGGTGGAATTTCAGAGTAAAAGGCAATTTAGTTCTCGAGAAAGGAGAAAGTCCTCTAGCTAAAAGATAATAAAATAAAATGACTTATAACTTACTATAGGTACAGCAAACAACGTAATATCACCTCAGCCAGATTTCTGAATTCCCAGAAATGGAATTGTTCCTGTTTCAGAATAGATCTATGGCCCATGAAGAGATCAGAGTACAGGGAATAACATGGAAAACATGTACAGAGAAACCACAGAGCTGATTTTTGAGTTTCTACCATAACATGAGGCTCCTGTCTCTAAGGGTGGGTCTCTGAAATGGGATGATTCCAAGAGCCTGTTTTGGAAGTCAGCATCAATATGTATACCTGGCCACAGAAAATGGGGCTCCCCTTCTCAATCTTTAATCCTTTTGTGATGTCAGAGTTGGCCAAAGATGACCAGTAAGACTAGATAACCACAGAAGAGAGAAACAGGCATGTCAGGATCAACGGATGACTGTTCACATGCTATTGTCTAAAGGAAAATAGTAACAGTACCTTCCTGGAGAGTCTCCATTCTCATCAAAGAGGATCATATCTCCAGAAACCCCAGTAAAATTGGTTTTCATCAGGGAATCCAAAAGTTTCCGTCCATCGATTGGCTTCATTGCATCACAGAGGCCCGCATAGCCTGGACAGAGGGACATCTGCATGTTGTGGAGTCCATAGGCCATGGAATAGATCGCATTGATCACAAATCCCATTTTGGAATCCTGAACGTGATGTGTTCTCAGAGTCAGAGAACCTGTTAGGAAACAAATTATGGATTAACTATGAGATTTAATTCTACTCTAGCTCTCTCCATGGATTCTGAATAATTGGAGAATTCACAGGAATAATTTTTCACAGTTAGAATCAGACTAAATGCAAAGATACAGGTGCCAGCATAGTGTGCTTACTAATTGTCTTCTATTTCCAGGTTTCTCTCCCCTGAAAACCTTGAAAAATGACCTGAATTCCCAACAGTAACAAGGTTTAATTCCTCTATTACCAATCTCTGGAGATAGATGCAGGAGAACACTGTATTTCTGGACCAGAAAATTTATCCTAAGGACAGATTAATCTCCTTAGTACTCAACAATGATAACATATTTCTTTGGTTTAGAAATCCACAACAAATCTCTAGTTCCCAAATTATTAAGTTCTAGCTTAGCAAACGTGATTTTCTACCATCTTGCCTCAACTTACCTGTTTAGATTTATCATGCACCACTTCCAACCTCAAAGCATATGCTCTCCATAAACTAGCCTATTTGGAAATTCTAAAATATAATCTAACATTTATGCTCCATTAATTAATTAATTATTGGAGGCTGACCTTAAGGAAAAGCTGTGTGGTTGATGATCTAGGAACAAAAAGATGAAGTGGGTATGAATTCTGCACTTAAGAAGAAAGTTGTTCAATAATAGAGATAAATTATTTAACTCCAGGGAAAGGTCAAAGGTGATCAATCTGTAACACATGTGGAGGTAAAATCCATGGAGGCCCAAAGAGGGAGAGACCCCTTCCAATGGAGGGCTCTTGGGAAAGTTTCATTAAAGAACTACCATTTGGTCTGGCTTACTGAGGCACTAAGTATGGAATGAGTGCCCATTACTTCTGACTGCTCAGAATGTGCTGGAGTTAGGGACATAATGTTGACCAAGGTAAATCTAATTCTTGCCCTAGAGCCTAGACGGCACAGGAGCATCTAAGTGGGCCATTGCAGTGTGGTTTGATACGTGCTGTGGAGGACTAAGTCAGGGGAGGGGCACTAGACCCAGAAGCTCACTGACGCTAACTATTATAGCTGAGTATCAGTTGAGTGAAGAGTGGAGGGAAGAGTTTGCTTGAAGGTTCATAGATGAGATAGAGCATACTGTGCTTGGGAAATTTTAGGAAGGGTGGCATGACCAGAACATGACATGGGAGATGCAAGAATGAGGAGAGCTAAAGGAGCAGAGAAGGGAAGGACTACTTAAACTACATTAAAATTGCTGCATTTTATCATCAGATCCTTGGGATCCTTTGAAGTTTTAACTAGCAAGGGGCGTGACCAGATTTCTATTTCAGGAAGACCAGTCTGACTATGGTGTGGAGAAAGATCGAAAGGCCCTGCCTCTGGGTCCTGTACTTGCTGTTCCTTCTACCCAGAATGCTCTGCCATAGAGATCTGCAGAAACTGTTTCCTCCTCAGTGCAGGTATTTGCTCAAATATCATCCTCTCTGTGACACCTTCTGGGGACATCCTGTCTAAATCTCATCTTTACCCGGTCCCCTCCACACACACATACTCCCTACCTCCTTTCCCAACAATATTTTCCTCCTTACTACCATTAAAATCCTACATGCTTGTCTTTTTATTGTCTGTCTCATCTACCCACTGAAATATAAACTCCATTGAGGCCAGGGATTTTATTCCCACTTTTATTCACCACTCAGCGCCTAGACCAGTGTCTAGCACATAGTGGGTCCCCAATAAATATCTGTTCAATGAATAAAAGAACTGTCCCTTCTAACTAGATTATCCCTTCTATTTTCTCTTCCTTCTTGACCCTACTAACACTTATTCTATCCATTTTCAAAGGTTCCAAGAACATTTCCTTCATGAGGAACACCATGATTGCAGGTACCACAGTTAATCTTTCTTTCTAAACTCCCTGTCACTTTCTCTATATCTCTCTCAGTCACCCTGCCCACCATACTATAGAAATGTGGGCATACTTAGGGGAGGGAGAATTTGAAAAATCCATTCCCAAGTCAGTCCATCCCCTACCTTCCTCTAACTCCCTAAATGGATGTGTGTTACTCACACATCACTTCAGCCTCCCAACCCACTATCAGAGGTCAGGAAAGGTTGCTTCTACAGCTACTGGATAGGTGGTGGTTTGATTCTCATTACCTTACTTTTTTCTCTTATGAGCAGAGGAGGGAGATGTAGCCATAAATTCTTGCTTTATGTCTTCCTAGCTCTGTGAATTGGGCAAATTACTTAAATTCTCTAATATTCTATTTAATCACCTGTTAAATGGTGATAACTCATAAATACCTCACACAGCACCAGGCACAAGGTAGATGCTTCATAAATAGTCACTGTACCAAAATGTAAATCATAACGACCTTTAGCCACTGTGTTGTGTGGTCAAGACTTTGGAGAATGAAAGCAAGCCAAAGGTCTCGCCTGATAGGATGTGCAGTAGAGCTCTCAGGAAGTCCTCTTTCAGGTTCCGTCCTAATTTTTCTTTATGCCTTGTCTGTGATAGACAACAACTGTCACAAAGGCAACATTTGAACCTTATTCATTTGTAAATCAAATCCCAGTGCTTAGGGCATGGTTACTGCACTGTTTGTTGAATTGAATGGAGCAAGAATGAAAATTTGCATTTTTGTTTGGCACTTCTCAAAATAAATTTTGCATATATCAGTGACGTGCATCGATACTGTATTCATACTGCAGAGATAAAGATGCTGAGGTATATATAGTTTAAGTACATTTTTCAAGGTTATGCAAAAAACATCAGAAGTAGACAAGAATTTCTAACACCAAGACTGGTACCCTTTTTGCTATACTATATCACTTTCGCTAGAAGTAATCTCTGTACAATATTACTGTAATTTTCTAATTAAGAGATAAAGTGAGGGAAAACAAACCCACAACAAGATTGGATCTTTCCTGGAAAGTGCGATGTTTCTGTTCCCTTGAGTAATGCCCACTAGTGTTGCCTAAACCCTGGGCCCAGGGATATATAAAGGGGCTGACCAAAAGGAAGGGCTCAAAACGAAAGGGCACACTGGTTGTGCCCAGCCTGTTGAGTCATTTGTTGTTACTGGGCATCTGGAAACAACTGGCCTGTTTGGGCAGCTTTTGGTTCTTGCTGAAGTCCCTGGTAACTGTTTTCCCTTGTCATTTGAAATACCAAAAGACTGCAAATTCAAAAACAAACACACGAAGCCTGCCAGAAGACAACTAATGTAAATTTAACCTTGGTAATTTCTCCTTAAGTCATTTTGATGCAAGAAAAACATCTTAATCTGTTTTAGCATTCTGGATGCAACAGGGGGTCAATTAATAGAAATTCAAGATTAAATTCTGCCAACACCACTTCACCTGGGTACCAGCCTTTTTCCTCCATTAGAAGCAGCAGCTCAAGGCTGAGTTATCACCTTTCGGTACCTGAGAGAGCTCCGGTGCAATGTGTGACAACAAAATAAATACTTTGAAAATGCTTTAATTTCATAAAACTCAATGAGCTTTAGGATTCTTTCCATGATAGATGAAGAAATTAAGGAAATCAAGATGCCTGTTAATAGCTGGCAAGCCTAACTTCTTTGTGCAGGGGGTAGTGGTAGCTGTATTTGAAAGCAATTACGCAATAGACTCAGTATTTGTATGTGTAGGGGGGATACTTGGTTAATTATGAATTCTTTTGCCTTTCATCTCTTCAGGCTTTGAGCTCTGTCTGTATATACCTGCTCCCTACACAAACACATCCGAAGGAGGTGAACCTGCAAGATACCTTACTTTGTGTTAGAGATGCATATGCCAACTACTAGGAATAGCAGAGCATAGAGGATTTAGAGTACAGATTCTGAAACAAGGCAGCAGGTTAGGAACACAGCTCTGCCCACTACTTACTAGCTGTGTGACTTTGGCCTAGGTCATGAACCTCTCTGTGCCCAGGAAAAAAAAAAGTGTTTTTTTTTTTTAATATTTTATTTATTTATTTGACAGAGATAGTGAGAGAGGGAACACAAGCAGGAGGAGTGGGAGAGGGAGAAGCAGGCTTCCTGCTGAGCAGGGGGCCTGTTGCGGGGCTTGATCCCTGGACCCTGGGATCACGACCTGAGCCGAAGGCAGATGCTTAACAACTGAGCCACCCAGGTGCCCCCCAAAAATGGGTTTAATAATCCTATCTAATTAATAGATTTATAAAAGTATTAAATGAGTTCGTATGTAGAAAGCACTTGATAAAATGATTTATGTTGCTTGGTCCCTGATCCAAGTTCTGTTACAAATGATCAGGTTTGTTTCTTCACATTCAAAATATAAAGATCTGGAAGAAGAGGAGGGGAGAGGCATTTGCTGGAGCAAGTGTGTCTAGTGTGTTTTTGAGGAATAAAAGAAAGGCCAAAACCATGAGTAAGGGGAAGACAATCAGGATATGAGCTAAGGGAGCTAGACAGGAGCTGTATGATATAGGACTTTGGGGGTGTTTCTATCAGAAAAATATCATGATCTTTTCATCTTAAAAATTTTAGTTTGAGGGGGCGCCTGGGTAGCTCAGTGGGTTAAACCTCTGCTTTCGGCTTGGGTCATGATCTCAGGGTCCTGGGATGGAGGCCTGCATCAGGTTCTCTGCTCAGTAGGGAGCCTGCTTCCCCTTCTCTCTCTGCTTGCCATTCTGCCTATTTGTGATCTCTCTCTGTCAAATAAATAAAATCTCTAAAAAATTTTTTTACTTTGAGGATGGAAGATGGAATAAGAGTGGGAAAACCTAAGGAGTATGGAAACAGCATCTAAGAGAAATGGTGCCTTAGTATAGGATAGGATTCTAAGTATATTTAGGAAGCAGGGAGAATAGGATGTGAGCTACCAAAGAAAAAGAAGAGTCAAGGGTTTGTCCAGGTTTTCATTTTAAGCAGCCAGATGGATCAGAGTGCCCTTGAGGTGTGAGAAATAGGGCGGTGGGGGTGGGGAATCCAAAATGCTGTCAGGGGGAGTTGAACAGGGAGGAGTCAGTGGCCAGTGTGACAGACCAGGCAACA